TCCCCCTACCTCCCGTCTCTCCCAGATCCACCTCCCTTGAGAAAAGAGCAGGCCTCCCAGGGACATCAACCAAACATGGAATAACAATAAGACCGGTGCACACCATCACATTCAAGGCTGGAAGACGCAACACAGCAGGCAGAAAAGGGTCCCACAAGTAGGCAAAAGAGTCAAAGATAGCCCATGCTCCCACTGTTAAGACTCCCACAGGAACACCAAACTCCTCTGCCATCACATGTGTGTAGAGGACCTAGGTCAGAGCCCTACAGGATCCCTGATCTCTGTGAGCTCCCAAGAGTCCTGGTCAGTTTATTCTGTGAGCCGTGTTCTTGTGGTGTCCCTGACTCCTCCGGTTTTTCTGACACTCCCTCCTCCATGGGACTCCATGAGCTCCGCCTGCTTGACTATGTGACTGCATCTACTCCCATCAGCTGCTGGATAAAGTCTCTCTGTTCTCTTTGATGACAGTTCTGCTAGGCTCCTGTCGAAGGTTTGGGGGCTGGGTTGATGTTCCAAACCCTCCGCTTGGGACCTTGCCTGGTTACAGAAGATGGCTGGTTCAGGCTCTGTCTTTGATCCATGGAGTTTCCACTATATTAGGTTTCCACCTCACCCTGGAAATGTGCCCCCCATTCCAGTTATTTCTCACAGTATTTTCTCCCCCCCCCAACCTGATCCCTGCTGTTCCTACCCCCACCCACTCCCAGTCTACCCTTGACATCTATTCTGTTTGCCCTTCTCAGGGAAATCCTTGCATACTCGATTAAGCCCTCCTTGTTACTTAGCCTCTCTGGGTCTGTGGACTGTAGCATGATCATCTTTTGCTTTGCAGTTAAATATCTACTTATAAGTGAGTGCATAGTATTTTTGTCTTTCTGTCTCTGGATTACCTCATTCAGGATGATTTTATTTTCTAGTTCCATCTGTTTACTCAAAAATATCCTGATGTCATTTTTTAAAATATCTGAGTAATACTCCATGGTATAAATTTCCACATTTTTTATCCATTCTTCAGTATAAGAACATCTAGGTTGTTTCAAGTTTCTGGCTTTATGAGTTAACCTGTTATGAACATTTCTTTAAGTGCTTTCTCAGCCATTTGAGATTCCTCAAGTATGTCCCTCTCTCAATATCTATTCAAAATAGTACTTACAGTTCTAGCTAGAACAATAAGACAACTGAAGGAGAACAAGGGGATACAAATTGGCAAGGAAGAAATCAAAGTATTACTATTTGCTGATGATATGATAGTATACATAAGCAAGCCCCAAAATTCTACCAGGGAGCTCTTACAGCTGATAAATATCTTCATGAAGTGACCGAATACAAGATTACCAACAACAAAAACAAATAGTAGCTTTCCTATATACAAATAACAAATGCACTGAGAAAGAAATCAGAGAAACAACACCCTTTACAATAGCCAAAAATAATATAAAACATCTTGGGATAACTCTAACCAAGAAAATGAAAGACCTATATGATAAAAACTTCAAGACTTTAAAGAAGATATCAGAAGATGGGAAGATCTCCCATACACACGGATCAGTAGGATTAACATAGTAAAAATGGCCACCCTACAGATTCAGCTCAGCCCCCATCAAAATTCCAACACATCTTTACAAATTTTGAAAGAACAACACTCAACTTCATATGTTAAAAAAAACAGAATAGCTAAAACAATCTTATACAATAAAAATATGGAGGTATCACAAGTCCTGATTTCAAACTACTACTCAGCTGTGGTAACAAAAACCACATGGTATTGGCATAAAAAAAAACTAGACACATTTATGTGAAATGGAATCGAACTGAATAAAAGACCCAACATAAATCCACACACCTATGGACAACCGAGTTTTGATAAAGAAGCCAGAAATATACAATGGGAAAAAAGAAAGCATCTTCAAAGCTGATGTTGGAATAATTGGATGTTATCATGTAGAAGAATGCAAATAGATCCATACCTATCACTCTGCACAAAACTCAAGTACAGGAGGACCAAAGACCTAAACATAAAACCAGACACACTGAATATGATAGAAGAGAAAGTGTGGAATGGCCTTGAATGCATTGGCACAGGAAGCAACATCCTGAACAGAACACCAATAGCACAGGCACTAAGCTCAACAATTAATAAATGGGACCTCATGAAACTGAAAAGCTTCTGTAAGGCAAAGGACACTGTCAATAGGATAAAACAGCAGCCTAAAGAATGGGAAAAGGTATTTACTTCTACATCTCACAGAGGGCTAATATCCAAAATATATAAAGACCTCTAGAAACTGGACATCGACAAACCAAATAATCCAATTAAAAAGTGGGGCACAGATGTAAACAGAGTTTTCAGCAGGCTGTAGGAAGAGAGCTAGCTTCAACTTCTGAAACCCATAGTGACACACTCCCTCTAAGAAGGCCACACCTCCTACTAGTGCCACTTCCTATGGACCAAGCATTCAAACACATGAGTCTATGGGTGCCATTCTTTCTAAATTATTTTATTCTTTTTGTGCAGTTGCTTGTGGAGGCCTAGAGAGGCATGCATATCCCTTGGAGCTGGAGCTGGAGCTATAGGCAGTTTGTCGATGTCTAGTTTCTAGAGTTCTTTATATATTTTGGATATTAGCCCTCTGTGAGATGTAGAAGTAAATACCTTTTCCCATTCTTTTGGCTGCCGGAACTCTGGTCCTCTACAAGATCCAAAAGGACTCTTAAACAAGGAGCCATTTCTCCAGCTCCCTCATTTAGATATCTTTAAGTTTTCAGGCTGGAGAGCTCTCTGTCCTAGGAGATGGGTTCTGTGTCCATCAGGATCAACAAGGTTGACTATCCCCTAAATCTCAGTAGCCTGGAATAACAAAGACTTTCTCATGCTGCATGTTTACCGCAGCTTGCCTGGGCTGGGAGGCAGGGTTCTTCTCTGAGATGCCCCTAGTGCCTGAAGGAATAGAACTAATGCTCTTTGGAATCTTGTTGGTATTGAGAAAGAGATCTCTGAGGAGAACCTAGTTAAATCGTCCACTGAGAAGTGGCAAATTATCTCTGATCATAAACTACTGACTACTACTAGTGAATCAGCTCTATATCAAAGGAAGGGGATCAGAAAACACAACTTTACCATGTGTCTGAAAGGAGAGAGCTAGAAACATTTGATGAAGACTTTGTTTTGATTGGCTCATAATCCATGAACATCAATAGATTCAGTTAGGTTGCAGCCCAATAATAGAGACCTAAGAGGCCTTGTTAGATGACATGCATATCTCTGTTCTTACTCATCATTACACATACAACAATATAATCTTCCAAATTCTTGAAGCATGAGAATATGACATCATCTGGTCCTTTGCCCATCTGAAATTCTGCTATCATAGTTTTTTTTAATCACCACCCTTCTTTCTTCTAAATAGTTGAAAAATTATTCCTCTGAAGTGCAATTGTGTTAGCTTCACCAGTTGTCTATGAATGACTTCCCACACATTCCAAAATGAGGAATTGTGAAAGATTACACATTCTCACATAAAATTACTGGTGGCTGAGCATGATAAACAGTCACTGATGTTATGTGACCTGAATTTGGTATGAAACTCAGAAGGGCTTCAAAGAGTGGCATTGACACAACATAGACAGCAAACAATGCCAAAGTAAGAAAGGCAGAGATGCCACCAGCTTCCCATCAGAATGACTCTCAGGGCAGGGTCCCATTGTCGTCTTCACATGTGTTTGTCAAGGTAAAGACTGGGTCTCAGTTCAGGCAGAAGGACTCTCCCAAGAAGTAAGCAGATGGGGCATTCAGACACCTAATGGCTTCTTCCCAGTTATATTTACTGAGGTTGATGTGTCCATCTTAATTGTTCGCTATTTTTTTAGACAGGGTCTCCCTCTGAATCTGGTGTAGCTGGCTAATGAGTTGCTGGGATCACGCAGTCTCCACCTCCCCAGTGCTGCAATTACAAGCTCTCACCACTAGGGCTTGGTTCTCGACTTGGATGTTGGGGATCTATACACTTAGGTCCCTATGTTTTCAGTAGTCACTTTACTGACTGAATTATCTCCCCAATCCTCTTTTGCCATGTTTTAACAGCTACTTTTAATTAAGTCATTAACTTTCTTATTGATGAGTTTTAAGAGTGTTATATATAGTTGGGGGGCAAATATATCTTTATTTACAAGATCTTTGTAAACATTTCTGCTAATCTTATTTTTTTATTTATTCTTTGAGAAATTCAATGGATATATACAGTGAAATATGGCCATTTCCACCCCACATTTTCCTCTCTAATTCTTCCCAGATCCACCCAACTTTATGTCTTTGTTGTATTTTGGTTGTTGTTTTGATAGCGTGCTTTATTCTGCTTAGAGTGTCTTTTGTAAAACATTTTTTTCTTTTCTTTTTCTTTTTTTTTTTTTTTTTTTGGTTTTTCGAGACAGGGTTTCTCTGTATTCTTTTGGAGGCTATCGGTCCAGCCCAGCCTCGAACTCACAGTGATCCGCCTGCCTCTGCCTCCCGAGTGCTGGGATTAAAGGCGTGCACCACCACCACCACCCAGCGCATTTTTTTTTTTTAGTGAAATTAGGCGTATCAGTTATTTCTCTCACAGACATCCTAACCCTTTACTATGGTTTGTAAGTCATCCCCATAGCCATAACTATCTAATTTTTCCTCTTTTATCTTTAAGAATTTAATAGTTTTGTATTGCAAATTTTAGTTTATGGTACATTTTGAGTTAAGTTTTTATGAAAAGTCTAGGTCTCCATTAAGTATATTTATTTTTTTAAAACCATGTGGGTGTCTAGCTGTTCCAGCAGCTTGTCTAAGAGAGATGTGCATTGCCCTGTGCTCTAAGTAGACGTATTGTGCCCTTCTCTGAGATCCTAGACAAACTCTTCTCATGTAATAGACAATATTTGTAGCTGCACAAATTACAGTACACAGGATTGGGATGAAGTAAGCTAATTTTATTGAAAAGAAAAATCACTTACATGAGAAACTGTTATCCCAGGGTCGGCGCTCTGAGAATGCAGTATCAGCTCTCTCTGAGACCTGACTGGAACCCCCAGAGAGGGCGGGCGGCCAGCCTCTCCTCAGGTCTGTATCTCACCCCACGTATGCACCTGTGGCCACGCCCAAACGGGCATGGTCAGCGCTACAGGTACCTAGTAAGATCTCTCCCTACAAATATGGTCATTTGACAAATACCATTGAGTCTGCACCACTGTCTTTGCATGTTGGTCAAATACATTCAGAGCCCATTAAGCTCAGAACCACACCCTATGCCCCTACATCAACCTCATTGTCTGGATCAGTATACAAAACTTCAGTGATTCAATGTCAACACACAAACGTGAGACAGTTGAATTGCCACAACAGAGTATACCCAAAGTACCAGAATATAGGATCCTTCCACTGGGAAGCCTGATGTGGCTAATAATGACCTTTTGTGCCAATGCTCTCTTTAATGTCAGCTTAAATGGTCTCTGCCTGGAACTCATGTCTGCTACAACTCCACAAAGAAGAGTGAAGGAGGGCATTGTAGATATTAAACAGTCAAGTTCAGCTGCACTTAGGCCACTTGTTGAAGACTTTGTGGTTGAGCTTGAATCTCGTTTGGGAAGTGTTTTATTGGTGGAAGGCATGCTGATTGCCGTGTAGACTTGGCTCCTTTCAATGACAAACCTGGAGGAAAATTACCAGCTCATAATATTGAATTTTACCTACATAATTCCTCAACGATCTCTTTGAGCCCTGCCTGATGTTTTGCGTGTGTCTTAATTTCATGAAACCAGGGTTGGGGCTGAAGTAGGTGATGTTTCTGGAAGAAACAGACCACTTATTAGTCCCAGGTGGCACCAGAGCTTTTGATCCTAATACAACCATTTTAAAGCAATGCCCGGGACTTGTAAAATTGGTCATTTTATTAGAGAAATACATTAGACTTGAAGTCAGAAAATGCCCTCGCTGGGAGCTGCCACCTGATTGGCTGATAATGCAGTCAACGTTTGCAGTCACTTTCTAGCCAAATAATATTAAATTTTTAGAAATATCTCCGAGTAGGCATTTCAGGGAGGGAAGGTCATTCTTTCCACATGGTAAGATACATCCTAGCACATTTGGAAAACAAAAATTACTCAAACCATGGTTTACATGAAATTACATTGAAACAGCAATCTGCTAGTTCATAGATTACAAGTGAACACCTCCCACCCCTCAGGTCTTGCTATGAGAACTTGTCCACTGTCTCACTCTCCTGTTTGAGTCTTATGACAGGTCAGGGAGGATCAGAGTCATCAGGCCTGCCTTAGGTCATATGAAGACAAGGTTAATGAGCTGATGTGATCAGTCTATGGCTAGAGATAGAACTAGGCTTAGAGCTGGTGGCCCTGCTTCCCAATGCCCTTTACAGGTAATTTATTCTTGGCTTTTCCCATGACAATGATCCCAACCTCCAGAAGTCTCCAGAGAAGACTTCCCTGGTCCCACGGTTTCACTGGTTTGTGTAGCGATGGGACAAAGGCATTGAATGGGGATACGGGCAAGAAAGAGAGAAATGGATAATGAGATGTGTCCTTGCTTCTTTGCCAGCTGATGATGGCAAGACTTGGAGGCCACCACACAAACACAACCTGTCATCTGTTATTTTGCTTATTGAGAACCAGCCTTTTTAGTGGCCAAACCAACCCAGTCACCATCTTTTCCAGTGGAAATAGTTCTGTTAAGAGCCATCCTACTCTCTGAACGTACCTTTATGGAGCAGACCAGAGGGAAAAGTAATTGAATTTAATAAAAGCTGTAACCAATATAAAGCCACAGGGAAATCCATTTCACTTCAAAGCTGAGATGCATGGTTCCTAAATAGAATTAATTGCCTGGCTGTTTCTTCCATCAAATCTCAATCCAACAGCAAAGAGGTAAATTCTTTGGCATTTCTGATTTCATGGTCACATGAATTCTCCATTGATGGTGATGACTGGATTGGTAAAAGTCCTTTTCAGAAATGTCATTCTTCAGACTGATCAGTAACCACAGCTGGAAGGTCTTAGGGCATTGTGCCTAGGAGAGCTAGAACCTGGTATAGGCTATCTTAATGAGATTGTCAAAGTGAGACTTTTCAGGATGCTTTCTGCCCCGGAACCACCTCTACATCCCTCTTTTAAGACTTTATTCCTAAAGAAACAAAGAGGGAAAATTTCTCTTTTGGATCCCATGAAGAGACTCTTTGATGCCCTTCTTGGCTCATACTAAGATTAGTTAGATGCAGATTTAAAAATTATTTACCTTACTATCTGATTCCACACAGGGGACCCATCTAACATAGCAAGAAGGAGAAAAGACTAGGTCTGAATGTCAGGTCTTCCCCCAGACTGATATTCTGAAAGCCTAACTCCCAAGGTAACATATGGGAGGAATGGCTTTGGGGACATGATGAGAGGAGAACCTTCACAGATGGCATTACGGTCTCTGAAAGTGGTCTTATGAGATTCCTTGTTCCTCCACAATGTGGAGATCAGCAAGAAGGTGCCACTCATGAACCAGAAAGTGTACCCCTGCCAGACACTGTGCCCTTAAATTTGATCTTAAATTTCAGCCTCCATAATTGTAAGAAGCAAATTTCTTTGGTTTATAAGTCATCAAGTTTATGATATTTTGTTATACCTACCCAGACGGGACTGAGACACAAGACCTGACTTCTGGCCTGTATGTTAAACCACTCCTCACTGTGCCCTTTCTAGATGTATTGCTTAAGGAAACTCCTCTCCCCACAAAGAATGCTGTTTCGTTCTTTCCTTCTATAAGACTGCATGTGGAGAAGAGGCAGGAGAGAGAGAGACAGACAAACAAAAACATACACAGAGAGACAAACATACACAATACACACACAGAGACTGACAAACATACACACACACACACACAGATGGGGGGAGAGGGAGACGGAGAGAGAGAGAAACACACATATACACACAGAGAGACAAACATACACAATACACACACATATACACAGAGACTGACAAACATACACCATACACACAGAGACTGACAAACATACACACACAGAGAGAGAGAGACAGAGAGAGACAGAGAGAGAGAGAGAAACACACATATACACACAGAGAGACAAACATACATACATGCACACGCATATGGGGGGAGAGAGATAGAGATAGACAGATGGAGTAGAGATGGAGGGAGAGAGAGAGAGAGATGGAGAGAGGGAGAGGGAGAGAGAGAGTGTTGTTGCAGGCACTGAATCTGGATAGAACCTTTGCCCTAGGGTGTCTTTCCTGGGGTGAATGCACAGGGCATCTCAGATGTTCAGAAGTGACTCAGAGCAAAGTACTGGATAGAGGGAAAAGACAGATGAAAACATAGCCATGAGGAAATACGTTTAAATGACTGTGGCGGTCGGTTTTCATTGCTGATTGACTGACTTTAGAATCACACAGGAGACACGTGTCAGGCATGCATATGAAGATTACCCAGAATGCTTCAAACCATTCAGTAAGACACACCTTGAATGTGGGTGATACCATCCCACCGGCTGGGGCCTTAGACTGAATTAAAAAAAAAAAAAAAGAAACTTAGCAGAGCAGCAACCTCCTCTCTCGGCTTCTTGGTTGTGGGTACAACGTGACATCTGCTTTCTTCTCCTCATGGTGGACCCTAACCCTTCCACCAGAAGTCAAAGTTGCTTGTTAGGTCTTTGAGTTACTTCAGTGAGATTAGTAACAAATCCGATCATGAATATCAAACTCATGAGACACTGTAAAGGAAAAAGGTTATGCATAAGAGTATCAATTATAGATTTCTCCATAACAGTAGAATAATATACTCATCTAAATGTCCCAAAGAAAGGACTTGCCTAGATAAATTATAATATGTTAGATTGGTAACTTAATAATATCTAGATTAAAGTATTGTCTACATAGGCTAGAAAGAATAGGAAAAGGGGTTTGATGGTGGAAGTCCTTCTGTGTATGTGCTTATCTTACTGGTTGTTGAATAAAGCACTGTTGGCCAATAGGGAAGCAAGATAGGTGGGACTAGGAATCGAGGAGGATTCTGGGAAACAGAGGCACAGTCAGTCACAATGTAGGGCACAGGAGAAGTAAGAGGTTCGGGTCCTTTCTCCGGTAAGAGAAGACCACGTGGAAATACTCAGATTAACAGTTATGGGTTAATAATTAAGTCAGAGCTAGTAGATAAGAAACCAAGCAAATGGCCAACAGCTTCATAATTAATATAGGGTTTTGTGTGTTATTTGGGAGCTGAGACAGCTTGGGATCCAGGCGGCTGGTGGGAAGATGACACGTTACAGGTGTTTATGATATAAAATTTAAAAACAAGTGAATATGACATCTATGTAAAATGGCAGGCAAAACTAGAAGTAACTATATACACAAGAAATATTTATGCTGGGGCATTGACTTGCAGGTGGTTTGAAAGTTTCTCCCACACTTTATTTCACAGCGTCATTTTATATGTGTGTCCTGCTTGTGTTTACGCCGTCACAGATGCCTGCTGCAGTTTATCCGGAGCCCAGGGACCGGAACTGTCCGAGTATGACTGCACAGCCCTAACTTTCTCCATCTTCCGGGAGACCAGACCGATCCCTTCACAGCTCGGCTGTCCTAGAGTTTCCTGATCCCCAGCTGAACAGCAAGATTCGCAGTCTGGCTTCTGTTGGGTTGTGTGTGTGTGTGTGTGTGTGTGTGTGTGTGTGTGTGTGTGCGCATGTGTGTGTGCGCGCGCACGCCTGCATGTGAGGCATGCATACACAGGTGGTGTGTGTGCAGGTGTGCACACAATCGTGTGGAGGATAGAGGACAACCCTGGGCATGATTCTGCCTCAGGTAATGTCCACCCTTATTAAACTTGATGTTCTCTTAGCTACAAATGGTACAGAATTGGCAGGCTGCTCCGTAGGCCTCTCTTTCAGAGTGCTGGAGAAAAGGACATGCGGGTACAGGAGACTTGCTCATTCAGGCCTGCTGGCTTTATAAGTGACACTATTGTCCGATTTATTCCAGTGTCCCCTCCAGAGGCGGTGAGAGAGTGGAGGAACTTGAAAACTGAGCTGAGCAGTTTGGAAGAAAGGCATTAATGGCCACGGCTGAACCAGAGGGTGTCAGAATGAAGAAGAGCCTTCATGACAGAGGCTTCTGTCTCAGCCTCAATGGACACCTGAATGCCGACGGCTGGGACAGGACCAGGACCTAGGCCCACACTGCGTGGCCTAGTCCCCAAGGAGGTTCCTGGGGTAGAGGACAAGGGCCTACTCTTCACAGACGTGGTTCTCCCCTAGTACTTCCGGGGTTCCTGGCCTCCTCATCCTGGTCAGAGGAATATTATCTTTCATCTTCCTTGCTCAAAGCACTTGATTTAAACCTTGCTAGTTCTTTCCTACATTTATCAAGAAATCCTTTTAAAAACTCTCTTTCATTTCCTGGTGATACAGCCCAGTTGGCGAAGTGCCTAGGGCACAGCAAGCATGAGGGCTCACAGCAAAAGTATACCCGTAACCCCAGTGCTGAGAGAGATGTGGACATGGGGCACGTCCTCGGCACTCTGGCCAATGAATCTCGCTGAATTCAGGGGTTCCAGCTTCATTGACGGACTTTGCATCAAAACTGTATAATAAGGTGGAAGAGTTATCGAGGAAGATAACCAGTACTGCCCTCTGGCCCTACATGCACATCCACACGTGGACACCAACGTTCATAATTGCATAAACACCACATACAACCCTCCCATCGGCAGGGTAGCCACGTACAATATCTGGCTACTGCTTGTCCTTTTCCTCTCCTATGAATGGTGTGGCTGGGAGGATCCTCATATATACTGTTTTCCCCAGGTAAACGTGGCTTCAGACATAATGGAGAGCATTAAAATATTTCACATAAGGTATAGTGTACTCATACTCTTAAATGAAAGCACCTGTCTGGATAAAGGATGGGCGTGAAGACAGCACTTATGAGACCCATTGGCCATCATTTCTTGCAGAACCCTTCTGCCTCCTGTGGCATCCCTGACTCTTGAGCTTGGCCTCACTCTTCAGACTTGAGCTGCTCTCCTGGACTTTGTGCCTGGCATGTCTCCACTCACATGCTAACCACTTAAACATATGTACATATTGTTGGTTTTCCTTGCTGCATGGTATTCTGTTTAGATTTCCATTGTTGATAATTTTTTATTCTCAAATGCCATTGTTGTGAGCATTTTGTTTGTGCTCCTGGAAATCACATGCTAGTGTTTCTCTGGGAGTGAAATTAGACATACTGCAGTTTCTTTAATTCTAACATGGTCTGTTGCAGGCAATATGGGAGTTTTTTAGAGTGGCCAGTGGAGGCTTTCATGAACCCCCTGATGTCTATGTTTAGATGGACAACACAGTTGGCATGTGGACACTCAGCATCTCTAGTTTCTCCTCTGTGATGCCAGTGACATCCTCATCATTCCCTCCGGTCCATGTTGGAGCCAAGGAGAGCCCAGTGTGGCCAAAGATGTGGAGTGGGACGTCTCCTTTGTCACTGATACAGTGCTTTGACTAACCTTTGTTAATGAGACAAACAGAACACATGTTAAATGTCTCATGTCATTATCCAGAGCTCAACGTGTAGCCTCCATAACAATTAGAAAACTAGATGAAACCAACAGCCCGGGACTGCTGGGTTAACCCATTGAGGGAAAGCAGGATGAAGTCATCTAAAAGATGGCTGAACTTAACACATGGGGCTGTGTGGAAAGCTCTCCAGCCAGCCTCTTCTGTGACCTAAAAGAATTTTTAACATTTAATCACCATACAAGTGTGTGTGTGCTTGTGTGCATGTGTGCATGTATGTGTGGGCACATGTATGTGTGTATGCATGTGTGTGTGTGTATTGTGCATGTGCATAAGGAGGGAGACTAAGACAGAGAGAAACACACACACAGAGACTTTGTCTTCCTTCTTTTTGTCTTAGTTTCTGATACTGTGCTGACCTTCATAGTACTGGGATTGCAGTCTGTGTTACCACATCCAACATTAGGGCTTTAGTCTTGGCAGAGGTAAATTCTAGTTGGTATCTGCAGTCCCTTGGGTCATGGTTCATTGTTCTTTTGTCAATTTTTTGTATTGTTAATATATCTCTACTGCATTTTATACATAAATATATAGTTCTGTAATTACCCACACAACTTAAATATAAATTACTGCATAAATCTTAAAATCTTATGAGTATATACAGAAATGAATACACTTCCAATATAGTTTTAAATATAATACTAAAATTTTATGTCTTTAAACTCATTTAAAATATTTTCACATATAAGTATATAGTTAAACATATAATGTAAATTATACAGTTTAAATGGCATTGGGGGTGAGGTCAACACTGAGGCAGCTGACATAGAAACAAAGAAGATGATTGCAAAATAGTTGGGAATTTTCCCTTCTCACCGCCAAATCTTCCCTGCATGCAGGTATGGCCTGGGAGTACACTTAACTGGGCATGTCTACCTCTCTTGCCTGTAAAGCTGTGGGCTTGTTAATCCCGATGCAGTTGGACTAACTGAAGCTATAGTCATTATACTTAATTGGGCGAGTGGCCCTCTGAGCTGTCTATAAACTGTGTGTTCACAATGAGGTAATTAATAACGCCACTTCCTTTTGGGAGACATATCATTAGCCATTATTTCTAGAAACATGACATTGATCTCTTTATTCAGAGAGGTAATTGCAGGTTTCTGAAAAGAGTGTATGGTTTACCCAACAATTCCCCGCAAATGACATCATCGCTGAGAAGTAAAACCCACAAAATCTGTCATTTTGAATCCATAGCTGGGATTTAATTCCCGAGGTGATTAAAAAAAAAGACTCTGAAAGAGTGTGGTTGTGGGGGGGACTTATTTTGGGATGGAAATGAGAGGGAAAGATAAGAGTTTTTAATTTAATATATTAGTTTCTTTAAGAGAGGTTAGAGGCAGGGAATTTATGCTTGTTTGGGACGATTGGTATAAGAGGAAACAAAGAAACCTTTATTTTTAAAGGCTTGTGCCTGCATTTTCATAATGGTTTTCCTATTGTGTCTTAAACAAACCTGACAAATGGATTTGATTTCAATATTACCATCTAAAGCCCGTGCATTAAGTCCAGTTCTTAACCTTAAAAAAATAAGCAGGAAAATGCAGCCACCCAGGACTTGACATTTCTCATGACTTGGATCCGTTCTGTTGATCATGAAATAAGCAAAGATTTCAGAGTAACTCTGGGTGAAGCTGCAGTCACTCAGGTCAGGCCCACCTCAGTGGTCACATTAAATTGGAAAAGGTCTAACTGCTACATTTCACCTTCCTTAATGAATTTTCTAAGGTTGTAGCGGGATTAAAAAAAAAAAGACCTTTATTCGTTTGGGTTATTTTCTTTCCAGTTTCAAATCCACCTGGGTTTCTAAAACAGCTTTTGTGCATTGGTCAAGGAAGCTAAAAATAGACAGCAAGAGACTGACTGCCTCTAGACACTTCTGTTGGTTTTACACTTTGAGCAGTTCACATATTGATTAATTTGGAAATCGTGATTTTCTTTTCCGAAACACCTTTCTGGTTTGGCACAGATGAGAGAGGGGGTAGAATCCACATAGAAATGAGATGCACTAAGCTTGTCATAAACCCGCTTTCCACAAATGTGAGGACCCCCTCAAAATTAAAGGTGCTGCAAATTAGTTTGAAACAGGGTGCACTTGTCTGTTCCATTAGACATGGTAGAGCAGGTAGACATATAAAAAGAAGTCTGAAGCATAGAAAACTGTACGGCTTTATTTACCTAGAGGTTAACTAGTTTGTTTGAAAGCTGTTTCCTCTTTCTGTTATAATGTATATTTCTTAAATGTTTATAATAACGGGTTAAAGCCAACAATCTCATTTTTTTGTCATAACTCCTGTTAACACATTATGGAGTTAGCATGTCTCGAAACACCAAAGCAAGAAATGCCCAGAGTGACCCCATTTAGCTATCTGTTCAGCTTCCCTTCTATTCAGAGAAACAAAGGAACCATTTGAATATGGACTGTCTTGTGAAATCTAATAACTTTCAACCTGGAAACAATGAACTGTCACAGGTGCAAATTCATTCCTCAGACATAAAATAATCCTCACGATTAGTCAGAACTAGTGAGGTGGTGTTGACCAGACCTGAACTGCATTCAGCCTGCAAAGAGGAAGGAAAAGGTGTTTCCCGAGAAAGTAAAAAGCAGTAACACTTTAATCTCATAAACATAATTTTAAAACTTTAAGAAAATCCTGCTGAAAGAAAATAGCTCATTTAAATTTTAATTTCTAATAAACAATGGCAGTTTTTCAACGTGGTGTTCAAATGCTAGATAATTATTTGAATGGTAGAGTTAAAGATGTCATTTAATATCTTTGCACCAAATAAGAAGATACTTCATTGAATAATTTGCATTTTTAAGGTTTTGAATCTTGGGGGATGGTACTTATTTGTGGCTTATGGGTTTTAAAAAACATCATCTCATGACAAATTTGGTTAACATTACTAAAAGCTACATCTTAAATATCGGTGCCTTGTTGTTAAATACACTAAATTTATTAGTACAGTTGTCTGCTGGATTTCCTTTCAAGCCCGACAGGAGCAAATAAATGCATTTTAACCTAAATTTGCTCTAAATGCTCAAAGTTACCTCCAAACTCTTTACCTGGTTATTTATATGGAGGTGTTATTTCGCTCATGCAGAGAGTGGCTCTGTCTGAGATATCCTTGGTGACTATGAGAATGAAAAGTCCTCTGACTTAACAGAACACTTGCTCCTGTTAAGAATCCGTAGTCCATTTTCTCTTTCACATCTGGCCCCGGTATCTTCAATATCCTCCTTCACTTCCTAGGGTGCTATTGGGAAAGGAGCTGAAATAGGGACACCCTGGGAGAGTCCTGAGCTGCAGGATACTGCAGAGATTTCTGTAAAGGACTGGGCCCTGGGGTTCCTTGTTTGCTGGGATTGGGAAGTGTATTTATTGGTGGCTCTAATGCTTCCCTAATGTCTTGCATTATTCCACATGTGGCAAATGAACAATGGAAGTCTTCCGAGAGGCATTTGAGTCAAACAAATAGATCCTGGCTGTATCAAGTCAGTGCATGGAGATGTTTTTTGTCTTCCCTTTCCTGCCTTGCCGGGGCTGATAAAAATCAGAAACTTCACTACCCTTTGGATTTTTAAGTAGGAAAGAAAGACCAGATTAAGGCCTGGATGCCTCTCTCTGGGCCCACTGAACCCGAACCAAGTGGCTACAGGTTGCAGGAACAAGAGGCCCATTGTCATCTTCATCAAGAAAACCCACCAGGCCTGATGAATGGGAGGCATTTTTAAGAGTAAAATCATTCGCTAGAATTTGGATGTGTTTCTCTTTAATTGGTTTGATTAGCCCTGAGTCTGAGGACTTGTCAAACACCTGGTATTAACCCTGTGCTGCTGACCTTCAGTAAGGAAAGAGCTGAGGATGGGAGAGAGGAAGGGGGGGGATTAGCTGAATGAGAGCCCCCTTTTGTGAGCCTGTGTTCCAGATGAAAAGAATCATTACCACAATGATACTTCTAATTATACTGTCATTAGGATACGTCCTGGGTTAGCAGTGGTGCAGGGAGCCTGGCTTTTAGACAACACGACCCAGGAGAGGGAAGAGAGGAGGCCTGGGAGATGGTTAACCCTTTCACCAGACTCAGCCCGACCTGAGTGCCCTAAGTTTAACTCAAGCATTTACAACCGGCAAACTGCTGGTGCACCCTCAGTCATCAGCTAGAAGTCAGTGTATCACCTGGAGAGTCATTTGTAGCTTTCCGGTTTAGAGTTATTGGTTCAGCACTAATGGGCATGCTGTTTTCTTGGGGTGTGTCAGCCTCTAGGAGACCTGTGGTCAACCAGCAGGTATTCCTGATTCTGGTGTGAGCGTACATGAGCAATACTGGGAACCGCTAAGGCATAGGGTACAGGGTGATGTGTTCAGAAAACTCTGTAGCTTCTTGACCAAAAGCCTGGCTTTGGGAGGTTGGTGGTCTGGGTCTGAATCCCAGCCTTGTAACTCATTAGCTCTGTGGCTTTGAGTGGACAGTTTGAGGAATCCATGAGGAATCCCGAAGAAGGGGTAAGAGGAAGTTTCACCGTCCTCGTCTGTTAAATGGAAGAAACAATTGGCCAGGAATGGTGGCACAGGCCTTTTTGACTGGGCATAATGGTGCAGGCTTTTAATCATGGCACTTGGGAGGCAAAAGTAAGTGGTCTTCTGTGAGTTTGAGGCCAGGCTGGTCTGCATAGTGAGTTCCAGGACACCCAAGGCTACATAGAGAGACTCCCGCCCCCAATAAAGGAAAAAGTATAGTTGTTTCTGAGTTCACAGAGCTGTTAGTGGGCAAAGGGGGTGTTTCCTGATTCGTTCTCAGTGCTAAATATCACAAAGCACACAGCTGACTTCTGAAAAACAGTTGAAGATGCAGTTACTGGGTCTTTTGCATGAACATGCACATTACACATGTGGGTGGGCGCTTGCATATGGAGGCCTTTAGGTCTGACATTTGGAATCTCCCTCATCTCAGTCCACCTTATATTTTGAACTCAGATTTGGTTGATGGAACTAGTCCAGCTAGCCAGATTGTCCTAGGGCTCCTCCCTGTCTCCATTTCCAGAGCTCCCCTATCAGCAGACTGCTAGGTCTGCCTGGCCTTTACGTAGGAGTTGGGGATTCCAAAGTGAAGTCCTCAAGCTTGTGTAGCAAGCATTTTACCCACTGAGTCATCCTCCCAATGCCAGGCTAAAGACTCCTTAAGGTGAGTGTACACATTCCTGAAATTACTAGACACACAGCAATTTCTGCCTATTTTATGCAGAGCCTCCTGACCAAGGCTGCATGTCTGGGGTTAGATATTTGTTGTTTCTGTGGACTCTAGATAACATGTATCTAAAGAAGACTGGGAAATAAGCGGAATCCTTTATTCTCCCAGCCTGCCTGACAGCCTCTGAGTACAAACTCCTCAAAGCTGTGTTGGTATAAAGACCCAATAAGACACATTTTTCTAATAAGGGTGGTATGCTTTGTGTTGGTGACATTTGGAGAGAGAGGATGATAATGCTAAAAAGAATCCCTGAATATTTTCTTCAGGACAATGCACTATGATGCCCCAAATGGGGTCATGGATTTCAGTGAGAATAAATCCAATCCTGTTGACATCTTTTAAAAACTGTATCTGCCCCAGATTTCAGTTGACACTGAGATTTCAAAACAGATTTTTATTTCGCATATTCTTTATACACATAAATGGATTTACATGTAGGAGAAGAATGTGAACTATTTGGGAGAATGGCACTATTTATATTTAAACTATTCTTATACTTTATGGTGATTCTTTTCTGTCTGTGTAGAACAATAGCCTAGAGAAGCCACGATTTCAACTATTGTAAAATAAATCGGTCTTGAATTTCACACTTCAAGGGTGTGGATTTTTCATGAAGCATAATGAAAAGATTGTATTGAGGGGATTGATCCTGCTGACAAATTGGGATGAAGATCCAGTGTGACTGTGTGTTGTGGCCAGAACTGAGCAGGCAAAGAAGGAGCGCTGTCTGCCTCAGTGTGCCTCTGTCTGTCTGTCTGTCTGTCTGTCTGTCTGTGTCTAAAATACATGCCTACATCCTAGACAAAGATAAGGTTATACAGCCCCCAATAAAACCATTATGCAACATTTTTAATATAGCAACAGGAGATTTTTTATTAAGTAGAATCATTATTTTTATTTTTAAACCCTTCCTGTGATTAATTTACAACCCACATATGGGGAGAGGCAGGTGGATCATGCTAGAGTCACTTGATTCTGAACTCTGAAGGTAGCTAAATCCAGGAGCCGGTTACTTCCTGTGACCATTGTAAAGATGACATTGTATTGCTATGAATTTTAATTAAAATAGAAGACTTTGTTTAATCCCTTTATTAAAAAAATCTCCCTAGGACGCAAGTAAGAAAAGTTTACGTAAGAAATCAGTTCATTTTTGAGATGTTTGAATATCTTATCTTCTGTCCAAGTCTCATAAACTCAGCCCCCACAATCATTTATTCCCTGAGAAGGGCAGTTTCCCTCCTACTTTGTGTGGAAAAGTAGAGCCTAAAAGTTGTTTTTAAGCATAATTAGGGCCCTAAAATGTGTGGTTGTGCTCTGAAATCTCTATCTCTGAGCTCTTTTTTTTTTTTGCAATACAAGTTAATTAACTGGATTTAGATATTTGCAAGATGATATATTTAATGGGATTACTGCTCATATAATGTTCTCAGTGACTGATTTGGAGTCTAAGCTCACAGGACCAGGGGCTGGATTTCCAGCTCTTTGAGAGTTAATGTTGTGTTAAGGAAAAGTACAATCTGACCCTCATTGTTCATGAATAGGTGAGTTATTCCCGTGAAATGGAGCCGGGCCCTACAAGGGCTGTAGCCTGGCAGATGCATGATCAGGAGGGCACAGACCATCACATTCCAGCAACTGCCCCCAGGTAGCCGGATCCCCACACCTGAACTCCTGACAAGTTCAAGGCAATTGTGTCTCAGTCAAAATAAAATGGCCCATTATTCGCAGTCTGTCTCCCAAGTGGGATTAATCAGATGCTCCAGCCAAGGCCTAAAGATAAACACTCATGTTTTGGTTGGCTGAGAGTTAAAAATGGGAGCATACAACACTGCCCTGCCCACCTAGACCTGGCCATTGTGAGCATGGAATGCTCTAAGTCCATCTTTCAGTGGAGGAATCCAGAATATTTGTGATGTCTCTTATTAGACTGGACTGAGTTAGGGAATGGTGGTGCTCTTGGAAGGAAGGTCAGTGTTAAAATGAGAGGCTTCAGAAAGAAAGAGTGTGAGGAAGAGGAAGAGAAAAAGATAAAAGGAAATGGAAGGGGGAGGGGAAGGATAGAGGGGGGAGGGAAGGAACCCTTTATGTTCTTGTCTGCTTCTGTTTCTATGTTTTTTTTTTCTTAAGCACATGTTTTGGCTCATCGGTTGGATGTACTCTACTGTGCACACATGACTAATGGTTATAATTCCAATCGTTCTCATTAGAGAACTATTGTAAAAAGAACATTTTAACTAAAATGCTGAAACTTGCATTAAACGTGTAAATATTAGCTCAGTCAAACCATGATGAAGAGGAAATTTAAGTTCTTCAGTTGGAAGGCCACACAATTCTTCATTTCAATTACAAGTTAGTGAGCGAGTTAAACCACTTTTTTTTTTGTACATGACCTAAGGATGTCACTTCTAAGATCATCGCTGGAGTCCAAGGTGCCATAAAAGCAGTGGTTCTCAACCTTCCTAATACTGTGACCCTTTAGTACAGTTCCTCATGTTGTGGAGACCCCCAGCCACAAAATTATTTTTGTTGCTACTTTGTAACTGTAGTTTCACTATTGTTATGAATTGCCATATAAATATCCATGTCTTCTGATAGTTTCAGGCAACCCCTGTGAATGGGGTCATTTGACACCCTCCAAGGGATCGTGACCCACGCAGGTTGAGAACGGCTGCATTATAGGAAAGTGTTCTGAAACAGGGATGGGTGGGTTAAA